TGATAAATTAGTTGAAAAATCCAAGCTGGGTAGTCCAGATTACATATGATTCTCATGTCACTCCAGACTTCCGAGTATGAGTATATTCACTCACACCAGGCGTGTACCTTTGAGATCATTTCTGTTTGAAGTTACTGTGGAATACTGCTTTAACCTCTGTGGATTCGTGCATTTCTCTCCACGGATTGAGATACATTCAGACACGGTTTTTTTACGAAAAAAAACAATTGTTTGATGTGTAAACAAGTACCAAGAATGTGCGGTGAGGGTTGTAATGGGGGGTTCCACCTTTCACGTGCTAACATCATTATAGTGGAATGTCGTATTCTTGAGTCCTGTAAATCGAAATTTTTGAATTACGTGTTTTATCCCCGACATCTCCGTCAGACCTGGACGCCACCGCAATCCAAATCAAGCCAGCCAGTACTCTGCCGGTTAGGTCAGGTCAGGTGGTACAGGACGATAAAGGCTTTCGCCAACCGAGCGTCCAGATTCTTGCCCCAGCCGGAATCACATTCTTCCGGAGCTTCGACTTCTTGTCGACCGTTGTAACAGCCGATTTATTCTTTCGGAACAGCCTCCCTTATTGGGTCCGTATCTGAATTGCGAGGTTATTCGAAAATAGGCAGCATGAAACAGCTACTCTCAGTGGTAGGCACTCTACCAAATATCAGGATAGAGGCTGATCCAGAACCCATCTAGTTGCCTACTGAACTCCTCGACTGTCTTACAGTCTAGTAGTGAAGATGGTAGTTTGTTCCACTCATCTATCACTCTACTTGTGAAGAAGTTGTCTAAGTTTGAGTCGGCTCCTGGACTTCATTATCTTGAGATGATGCCCCGTTGTTGACTTGAGCGGTGCTCGGGTAGACAGGCTGTCCGCCTCCAGCTCAGTCAGCCCCTTCATTATTTTGAAGATCTCAATGTCGCCTCTCAGGCGTCTCCTCTCCATGGAGAAAAGCCCTAGGGGTTCTAACCTCTCCCTATATGACTACCCCTCATCCCCGCGATCATTCTAGTAGCTAACTGTTGAACCCTCTCGATGCAAATAATATCCTTCTTCAAGTAAGGCGCCCAAGCCTACGCGCAGTATTCTAACTATGGCCTTATAGAGGTAGGAAAACCTCAGCCTTCCTTGACGACAAGGCCACCGTAAGCTGAAACAATTGCGTCCGCTGAAAGTCCTCGCGGACCACAATTCCCAGATCCAGCATTCGGTCTATGCGGGCGAAGACCGTCGGTTCCGTGGTCGTAGCCACTCGAACCGGAAGCCCTGCGGTATTTAGAAAATGATACTTGATGGCGTTTAGCTCCAAGTCCCACTTCTGTGTTCACCGGACCACCCAAGCCAGATCACCCTCCAGTTGATCTACAGGTCCTGAGTTCACTAGTTTGACGTCGTCGGCAAAGGTGAAGGCAGGAACCGCTGGCCCCTGGACCAAGTCATTTATATACAGCAGAAAGAGCATCGGGCCTAGCACTGAGCCCTGAGGCACTCCGCTGGATACGCTGCCAACATTAGACAGAGCTTCTCCCATCCGAACTCTATAGGTCCGGTTGGTGAGGAAAGCTTCTATCCATCTAACTAGAGCTGTTGGAAGACCAAAACCTCTGAGTTTTACTAGCAGGAGCCGGTGATTTACCGAGTTGAAAGCTTTCCTGTAGTCCATGTAGCACACTTCGACTTTTTGACCTCCATCTAACCTCTTTGTAACTTCGTTTTAGAAACAGACACGACCGTTTTTTCCTATCTCCACTGTTATGGATGGATACCACTGTGACAGTCGCCCAACCACTAGGTACTCTCCCGGCCCTTAGGGACTCCTGGTAGAATGCGGTTATCGCAGGGGTGAGCGCAGGAGCTGGTGGTTTGATGATGGCCAGATGTAGCCCGTCTCTGCCAGGGGACTTGCTTACATTCAAGCCCTCCATGACATCAAGAACACTGCTAGCTGAAACTTCCACATCACCCATTGGAGGGATATCTAAAACTCTCGTGGGACAGCACACCCATCATCTATTTTATAGACGGTTTCGAAATATCTCCTGAGCGTCTCACATTTTTCGTAATCTGAGACCGACAGCCCACCTCCGGGGTTCTCCAGAGTGCCTACCGATTGTTTTAGTGCAGTCTCCGATTGCACAGCCATGGTACCTCTTGAGTTCCTGGCGCGCTCTCTTGGCGATTTTAACCTCGAAGGTCATTTTCGCCTGTTTCACTAGCTTGTTTGCATAGTTTCTCGCCTTCTTATATTGGAGCCACCGTTGATGTCCTCCTGAGAGAACAAATGCATTCCACCTACGAGTCCTTTCCCCTATGGTGCGTTTGATGGCCGGCGTCCACCACTGCGGTTTGTGGGTATCCCCCCGAGGCTGCANAGCTGGTCGCGGATTATCCCCCATCGTTGATCGACGGACGCTTCTGTTCCCTGCGTGAACCATGCTCTGGCTTGAGCATCTCGCTTCAAGTCCTCTATGTTTATTCTCCTGAAATTGCGGCCCCACCTGCGGGGTGGTTTATTTCGCAGTGCATTTTTCTAGCAGCTTTTACCGAAAGGAACCTCCTGTCTTAGGTCGCTTTCTCTTGCCGAGTGAGGACCAGATCCAAGGTAGACGGTCTCTGTCCTAGCCGGATACGCGTTGTTTTTCTCACGTGCTGGTAGAGTTATGCCGCATGGAAGCAGTTCATGAATTCATGTTCTACTTGCTCCTCACCATCGTCTTCATACTGCCATTTTATTCCGGGTAGATTGAAATCCCCCACTGTAATCGGCGAGTAATTTCCCCTACCGACTGGCAATGAGATCTATTAGCGTTCGATCATCCTCCGGTCTGGAGTTCAGTGATCTGTAAACACCTAATATGCAAAAGTGTCGACCTCTGTTTCTTACAATGCAGCCTGTAG